CCTCTTTCCTGGAACCCCTTTCTGCATTATGGTATGTCAAACCTTGCTCATTTCGTTGACTTAGACAGTGTTTTGCCTGCCTTATTTGTAATTCTGTAATCCTAGCCCCACTGCATTGTTTTGTTCACTGGACAATTAAACAAAGCTTTGCTGTTCGAGTGAATGGTTTTCTTGTTTTGTAATCTGGTTTGAGTGTCAGTGAAAAAAGTTGGTCTAGAAATTAATTTAACGAGTTATCTAATAAAGATGCTTTTTGCACAAGAGTCATTGGAGACTAGCTTGGTTATCTTTAAGCTTGCTCTGAATACAGCACCCTGTTCCCCTACAACTCTGCAGAAGTTAGAGGATGATGAAAGTTCAGTAAGTGTAATAGTTAAGAGCCTCCATGTTCAGAGGTAGCATATGTCATTATCAGATGCTGGATACAAACAGGAAAAGCTGCCACTGTCCTGTCTGCCTTTTGAGCTTCCTAGAAATGAATAGATGGACCCAATCCAACAAATACAACTGTGTTCTTAAGTGTTCTTCTTAGGCAGTGTGGCACATTCTGCGCATATTCAGGTGCAGTACTAAGGCTGAGATCTACCGACTCAGCTCAAAGGAAATACATAAATGAAAGAAATAATAGAGGAGGCTGACTGGCAATTAATTCAGACTATAAAAAAAGTCTTCCCCCCCTTTTGTTTCTTGCTATCATAATAGCACTTTGTGGGCTTGTGTAGGCTTGTACAGTTGAGCATGAGAGCTCAGGGAGGGGAAAACAAATCTATCATGATTTTGTTCAAAGCGTCAGCAGAGATTTTCTTTGCAAAAAGATGCAGGGGTCATGAAAATTAACCACTGTAGGCAGGCTAGGCCGTATGATCCCTCCTCCATTCCTAATGGTAATAGATTACATTTTTTTTAACCTAGTCGACCAATTTAAAGCAAAGGTTTCTTGTACATTTAAAGCCTACAGTTACTTTAAGTGAAATATGTGAGTTCCAGAACTGAGAGACCAGCATGTATCTTTCCCTGTTCTTTGCATTCCCAAATGTATTTAGTATCAGCTACACCTTCTAAATGCGATAAGGAGTGGTGCAGAGTGTGAGTTTTACAGAATATGAACAGGCACTTGATCCAGCCAGAGTAAACGTGCACAGAAGCAGGTTTCTGCATATGAATCAGCTGTAGTGGGAGTTCCACAGATTTCTGTGGAGGTGTGGGGGAGGGGGGAGTAAGAAGACTTTGGCTGCAATTCTAAACACACCTACCAGGGAATGAGGCCTACTGGACTTGGCAAGATTTTATTCTAAATAAATATGCTTAAATATTGTATTGTTTAGCAGTGAGAAGTTGTATACTCTTGATATTTAAGGGCTCAGTGGCACTGTTCTCGTCCTCCTCCACTTACACAATGTGATGATATTAATCATTTCTGCTCTTATGGCAAGATGTAATTTGTTGTTCTTTCTGATTTGCATAATAATGTTTCTTCTCCTGCCTCCACACAAGGATTCGAAGCCAGGATTAAACAGTGGTTTGAAATCCCGTATTGGAGGGACAGGAGAACAAACTGTAATTTTCAGTTCAGGCATCACAAACTGTTTATCATGGAAGCAGAAATTATTAATTTCTGAGCTGAGAGAGATTCCAAGGATTCCTGGGGCTCATTCCCATAATGACAAAATGTGATTTGTTGTTACTTGTGAATTGTGCTTCATTTTTTTTACTAATATTTTTATTGAGTATATCTATCAATCTACATACACATAATTCGTTCAGCATCTTGTTGATATACTTATTTTCAATCTTTTTAACACAAGTGATAACCAAGAAAAAAAGAGAAAAAAGTCCCCCAAGGTTATTATGTCATCAACCCAATCCTTTTTTTTTTAATGCATATTTTTATTTGGTTTTACAGTATTTAACATTCCAATACACATGTAACATATAATGTAGAGTCTCATACATTCAATGTCTCTATCCAGTCATACACTTTAACCCATCTTTTTTTATATACTTTTCCGTACTTATTCTGCAACTTGAGGCTTAGATTATCCATCTGTGCTAGATCTAGCACCTTTGCAACTAATTCATCCTTCTTAGGTATTATGTCTAATTTCCAATTTTTAGCCAGTAATAAACGGGCAGCAGTTATGATATACACTATTACATATTTATCCTCTTGTCCATAGCCCTTAGGCACCATATTTAATAAATATATCTCTGGTTCCAATGCTAGATTTTTACACAAACCAACCCAATCCTTTTCGATCTCATTTAATCCCTCCTCTTTTCTTATGCCCCTATCTTACCCATTAATTAGGTACCCATACAACTTTCCCCAAAACTTATAATTATCCTTAATACATTCCTTATCTTCAGTTCATTCCTGCATCAATTTCTACTACCCGTCCTCTTCTGTTCCTGAA